TTCATAAATGTAAATTTACAGCTATTACAAGTATTATTGTTTATATTTGTGTAAGGTAACATTAATAGCAGACTCTCCCTCGTGCCTATCACCTACTTAAATACAAAGTTAAAAATGCACGAGGTTTAAATCTTTTTTTTCAAATCCGCGAATACGTTCCGCTGAATGTGCCGCGTGTGTACATTTGCGTGTACATGTGCGCAGAGCACGTATGGATTTGCATCTGGCACTTGCCTGTAGTGTTGTTCCTCTCTGAATTTTCCGGAGATTCGAATTAAAAGAACGTGCCAAAGGCTCGAGTGGTGGTTGACTCGAAGTATGTACATACAAGTACATCGTCAATTAAATCTACGTGTATTACGTTGCAAGTATAATAAATTATTTCGAATACATTTTAAATCAATGAAATGATTATTTGATATATCGGTAACGCTATCCTTTCTTTTTTTTTTTCATAATTTTATTAGCGCTTCACATGAGGCACGTTCTTTTAATTTCGGATATCCTAGAATTTGGAAGGCCGCTGATGTATCATTTCGAAAAAAAAATGTTCAAACCAATTTCTAAGCTAAAGACTATAGTCTACCTAATAGAATACCGCTCAAATAAACGTCATATCTAAACTAAAGCCGAATCTACAATGTGGCCTTCGGTTAACGTTTTACTTGCTTTTTATTTCTGCCTTTTTCCCTCTTCATGCTTTATCGATAATCGTATTTCTTATTACGTGTTTCTTGTCTTTTCCGAAGTTCATCAGTTTTTATCTCGGACGAAAGAAAACGAAGAAACAATATAAAAGGCAAAAGGCATTGTACATTAGACTTAAACGTTCTTGCATTTATCGAGAATGAAAGTCTTCTATGTCTCAATCGCATGTTCTCGCGTGCAAATAGTCTTATCACGATTACGCGAAGCAGCAACATGCTGCTGTATCTTTGAAATTAGAAACATTGGTCGTGCGAAAGACGTACAATATGCAAGAAGTTCTTAGATATCGTCTTATTACGTTTCCTGGTAGTACAATTTATTGGCGCAATGTTTCCAATGCATGCCAATGTTTAATCAATATATCGCCAATGAATTACGCTACTCGGGTTCTAATTAACTAGACTATAGTCTGAAAAAAATGATCTTATATCATCAATCCGTCGGGATTAACTAAGCTAGCGTTGGTCGTAAAATCGTTGATAATTGTAGCATACTAGGTACACATCTCGCGCTGATACGTCGAATCGGTGGGACGCGTTTAGGTAGCTGAACGACAAAACATCAAGTGGGAAAGGCTTGGAAGTGAACGTAATCCTACAGCAATCTCAACGAAGCGTATGTCTCACTCTATATCGTACAGTTTTCTTGTACGTAAGAAGTGTCACGTATGCTTCGATCTACTTCGACAACATTCCACGCTACCATTCGATTCTACTCGTGGATGTGCGCCGTTTGAAACATCAATGATAAAATGCAGCTTTTTTATTTTTCTAAGAATTGTACTATAGATGGACACCATAAACGAATAATCCTGGCGAAACACTCAATAATTCTAAATATTTCGGATAATCATCATTAAATGGTGTGCTGAAGATTGTCAAATTAGATGCGAAGCAAAGCGTCCCAAGACTTAGACAGAAATGCTTTATATATTACAATATCATATATATATATATACACACACACACATATATATATATATACATATATATATATACAATTAATAAAAATTCTTCCGTGACGTAATAGCGCCACGCTTTTACAATTTACAATTATTATCAATAGAAACTTCATATTCAGTTTTATGGCCATTTATATTATAATAATACGTGAAATTATATTCTGACTTCATCACTTACAATACGACGTGTTAATCAAGACTAAACTCTTCACAAAAATAGGGAAGTTGCATGTAGATGCATTATTTTATAAGTTCGTGAACTATTCGCCATGTTACTCTGTACTATTATTAATTATTCATCGGCGTTTAAGAGAGATACTATAACAAAATTCTTTTACGTAAAATAAAATTGGTTAATGTTCAAATATATTTTATTATCATTTTCATACTTTTTTTTATCAAAATAATACAAGTAATGGCAATTTAAACATACGTCAGGAAATTATGGCACTGCGGTATAATTACAGTGACGTTACTTAGATTTTTGTATATTATTTTTCCTTTCGAACGTTGCTTTCACATTAAACAATACATCATTTCATTCTACATTTTAGCTAAATCGGTGTGAACACATTCCATTCAACGTTTGCTATTTGATGAAACGTTTAAATGGATAGCCGTTTTGTAGGAAATGTTCTTAGCAGCGAAATGATATTTTTTTAGACGTCAAACTTTTGACAATTCTCAAACATCTCGAGGGAAATAATGTTGTATTAATCAAGAGGTATTAGATCAATCCAATGATTATAGAATGTTACAAATGAAATCTCTCATGTATTATTTTTATCCTTAAATTAAGTTATATTTTGCATCCTGATGATAATAGTTTTACGTCTTTTAATACTATTTAATAATTTGAGATCGAAAGCAAACGAGAAATTGTCTTTTTCTCCAGCTAATTCTATAGCCTGGATATTATAAGCTCAATTACTTTTTTTTTATAGAATGTTACAATCAATACAAAATATTATATGAAAGTGTATATAATCCTTGTATTATCTTAAGACGCTATGACGTTCACCTGAGAATTAAAAAAATTATAGTATATCCGATTATTCAAAATTTTATTTATGTTACGTGAAGACTTTAATAAAATTCAATAATGAATTAGATAATAAGGACTACGGAGTTTAAGAACAAATAGAGGGATAACGTCGATCGTTTGAAACAGTAAAATACCTACATGTTTTGAAAAGATTCGTGATCATTACTGTTATTTAGCTCAAACGAGTTGAAATGATGCGTCAAGTAGGATGCAAATAAAATGAACGTTACATCAATTATTGATTAATATAAGATGCATGGCTAATTACGCGTTCACTTAGTTTATTTTCGTTAAGTTTGTCTTGTTTACTCGCCTTATCTCATAAAAATCTTGTACGATCTACGCGATCGCATTACTTTTTTTTTTTGTTACTACCTATATTACAGATTTAATTGGCCGTAATTAAAGGTAATGAACGGGAATAAGTTCTAGCAGTTCTTATCTTCTTTTTTTTTTCGTAGAGTAAGATATTCATAAGTGAAATGGCATAACTGATAAACGGTCGACAAGTACGGCTGTTTTATCATAATTGTATTTGCTCTCATAGAACAAATTTTTTTTCTATTATTAACTTTAAGTTCCAAATAATACTCTAACGTGTATACGTACATTATTTAGAAATTATGAAACTACGGATAAAATCACGCACTGCAGCCTTTCATTAATCTGAAATAGTCATATGTATAGCATTATAAATTACATTTGGTCACGATGAACAGTATCTTGAATTATCGATATATAATTCAAAAGTATTTAGAAAATTCTGATTGTGTAGCGTAATGGAAACGTGCCTCATGAATGTACGATTTAAATAACAAGATATTTCCACGAGAAAACTGCCATACTAGTCGGTGTTTTTCTTGTATAGACCATTTGATTGGATAAAGAAACGTCTCCTACGTATGGCTACTTGCACATGTGCAATCCAGTATACGTCTTAAAAATATCCGAGTAGATTCTACTTCTCGATAAAAGGCAAGAGAATTGTTCCGCTCGTGTTCATCCTATAATATGATAACGCATCTACCGGGAGTACGTACTTGTTTCGTGTTTCGATGGATTGACTCTTCGTAGATAAACTGTAAACGATCAAATTCGGGGGAGCGAATTCGCGTAAAATTTTTTTTTCTTATACGCACACGTGTTTCTCTCTTCGTAATCGTGTCGCCGGCCGAGCGCCCATTTGTGTTTTCCAGGAAACCTACGGCAATCTACTGAACTCTACAAATATCTATGTGGCCGTGGCCACCTCGACAATCTCGATCTGTATTTAAATAATAATAGATGAAAAGTCGAAATTTTTAAGATATAATATATATATACATATATATATATATATATATATTTATATCACGTACTCGCGAACTCGCTTGATAATAATTGTGACGTATCTTACAAGTATGTATTATACACATTATATATCTCCATAAGATCGGAACGTCTCGTGTGTGTCGTATACCTAAAGTCGCGCGTAGTTTTCTTTCTTTCCATACTTTATATTATATACAAATTGTAAAATGTCTTCTTAATGAAAAAAGTCGTGTCGGTCTGTGTATATCTCTTTTTTTTTTTTGGTGTGTATTTGTATTTCTGTAATATTTTTCTCTCTCTCCCATGAGAACTTGAACGTATATATAACATTCGTATTTTTTTCTTTCATGTATTCTTACATTTTTACACACATACTATATTCCCAGACATGCTCGCACTCGTTCGCGATTTCGATCACCGACATTCGTACTCCTTTGCATTCGCTCCCTTTCGTCTTTCCCATGTGAATATTTTTCGTGTCTTCACAGAGTATCTCTCGATCGCAAGATACATTATCCCCACAGTTTTTTGTACATGCGCGTCTTTTCAAGGTCAGTTCACTGCGTAATTGCACCTACAATGTGATTCCACATTTCTCATTCTATTTATAAAAAATAAATATGAGAATAAATATGAGAATATCAGAAAGCGGGCACAAGCATTATACTATTCGGTATTCCAAGTCGTATCTGATATTCGAAAAATGCGGGCATAATATAAGTGTGTATACTCACACACATACGCACGCACGCACCACGCACGCACACATATATATATATATATTATATATGTATATGTATATAGATACACAACACACACATATACATATATATATATATATATATATATATATATATATAATATATATACACTTGAGATTCACGGAATGTGATTGAATTTTTATTTTAAGAAAAGATTAATTTCAATTTTATCAGTAAAGAAAAATGTAAATGTAAAAAGAAATATGAAGGCCTGTACTTATTTTTATATCTCTGTCAAAAATAAAAATCGAAGTGTAAGCTGAATATAAAGGAAGAGTCTTCTTACATTCTTAATTTACATTCCGATCTTTATTTTCGCTAGAATATTGTTCAAGCAAATATTCTTACACATGCAATATTTTTTCGCAAAGAAAATATAAATAATTTTGATTACAAAAGATCAAAGATAACTTATCGTTAGCTATAGATTAAAAATAATCTACATTGCTATATAGACTTATCACACGTACAGAATCTCATCGTATGTCACACTCTTAATGATACCAACGAACGACACAGCCATTTATCTAGAACGTCAGAACGGAAAGCTCGTCTTGACATCTCGAGCGCTAAAATTTTCGCTTCCTCATTCGTCGAATTCTCATTCCTCATTCGACGCACAGATGCATCAGAAATTCATTCATCGTACATCGAGTATCCTAATATTCTCGGTTACGTGAACATGAATTAAACTCGAATGATGACGGAATGGAAGAATTATACGTATCGCGCGGGTTCGCGAAACGACAAAACATTTTCGTTGAGGAGAAGCATCCGGCGCCGTCGTCACTCCGGTGTCACGATCCTAATTAAACAGTTCCATCGATTCAATTTCTAACCAATTCCAATCTCTTGACTATCTATATGCGAAATCTTACTCTCACTCGACGAGAGTGGACCGCGAAAAAGGGAGAGAGAGAGAGCAAGAAAGAAAGAGAGAGAGAGAGAGGGAGAGAGAGAGAGAGAAAGGAGAGAAAGAGAGAGAGAGAAATAGAAAGAGAGAGAACGCGAGAAAAAGAGAACTCGTGGCGGTGATAATAGCGTCTCGACGACGATTGAAATTCGTTGAAGTCGCCAGCTGCCAGGCAGAGGCACACGCTCCCCTCAGACGGATACCCGTCGCGGCTGCTCGCAATAGTGCTGCTCGTCGAGGAGTATCACGCTCCTCGCGGCAGAACAACGACGTCAAATGCTGGCACGGTGCTGATACAGTGGCGGTAACGGTAGCATCGAAGAATTCTGCGACGTCCGCGGGTCGCCCCGCACGCTCAACGCCGACAGCTGTTGCATTGGCAGCAAGTGTGAGATCTTGCCCGGCGAGCGGCGCACTGTGAAACGTGGTCTCCGCCGCTTCCTCTGGAAACCGCTGCAGCGGCAGCTACACACCGACGCTTCGTCGTCCAACGACATTGCGTTTCCGTGATTGCCAATTTGGCCGGACAGTATCGAGCCGTTTGCCGTTATCACATCGCCCTCGAGACGTACCGCGCCCTGGGCTGCCTAAAGAAGGAGTATGAAAATGGTCGATTAATTCTTACGAATATTCATTGTAATGGAAATAACAAAATCCACTTGACAATGCTATTTTAGGCTTGTTAGGCTTACAATTAAGCGGAATTTTTATAATACAAACCGTAAAAAATTTTATGAAGAAAGAAATGACAATTGGACAGTTGATACTAAATATTCGGCAAAATGATGGATGGACGAATCTTAGAGATATACGGATAAGAATGAGTTGTACCTGTAACGCTTCTGCTTCGTCTCGTCTTTCATCCTCCGTATTCATAGTGACGAATCTCAAAACCAGTAAATTAAGCGAGGCCGCCACGATCGCCAAGCCGAAGAGAATAAATATTAGGGCAAACATCACATACTCAGGCTTCTTGTTGAGTGCATTGTCCTTCTGCAGCGCGACCATGTCGCCGAAACCGATTGTCGTCAAAGTAATGAAGCAATAGTAAATGGAATCGAAGTAGGACCACCCCTCGTACCTGGAGAACGCAGCGGCGCCGCCGGCGATAGTCAGGCACGACAACGTCGTTACCACGCAGATGAGATTTATCTCCGAGGCCTGCAATACGTTGCATGTTAATTTACAAATCTAAATTCTATTACATATGTATTACATATGTACTGTATCGTAATAAACGCTTAAGGGACGAGAACGATTCGAATGGTTTAATCTTCGGTATTCGAGCGAAGAAAGTACTCGAGGGGAAACTATACTAGATTACATTATTCAAACGATGTGAAAAAGAGAAATATATTATACATAGATTCTAATATATGGAGAAAAATGTAAAGTAATATGCACTAAAATTCCAATAAATTTTATGGAATTGATACAGGCCCATGTAGGCGTCCAACTGTAACCATGTAAAATTTATTTTTCTAATAAATGAACGATCGTTGTAGTTATATTGTAAGGTACTTTTTACATTTCATAAAGTAAATTTATAAATTACCATATATCTCAATAGAATTTATTTACTTTATCGACGAGTATTTTTTTGTTTTAGAGCTGATAAAATTTACAGTCTTGAGAATAGTATAATTTATTTTACTGTAAAATAATAATCACTTGAATCTACTGTCATTGTAATGTACTGTTTACACTTTCAGTATTTTTTTTTCTTATTTATTATTTAGTATTTTTATTTTTAGGCGAATAAAGTTTGTTATAAGTTGAGCAAAAATAATCAGAATATTTTTACTTGTGAGATAAAAATTTTTCTTTGATTAGAAACGATTTAAAAAAGCCAATTTGAATTGAAGCACATTAATTATTATAGATATCAAATAATTCGAAATACTATAATTATGAGTTTACGTTGATTTAACATATTAAACAAAACAATTTCTATTAAAATTAATTCTAATAACATCTGTAATTTTTTAATATTATCAATCTTTTTAATATTATCAAATTCAATATTATCTATATATTCAATGTATACTGGAAGATTACATATTTTTTGTACTTTGAAGAGGACATAATATTGATGTCGAAATGTCTGTAATTATATTATATTTTTGAATACATTGATCATTGTTGTCATACTGAACATCTTGTAGGCTCATATTGGCAAGTTTCCTAAGTTTTTATTGTTAATATTATCTACATATATTTTAATATAATCTATTATAATGTAATTTATTTTTTATAAAATTCTGCTTAAAATTAATTAAACGAATTATTATATACAATTCAAACGCTTGCACTTAGATTATTACAATTTCACTATTTGGAACAGAAACACAATTTCATCCACAGTTTAATTAACTTTAATAATCTGTAGTGCAGAAATTTCGGCGATTTTAGTACAGCTCAACAGAAAGTGCACTATCTCGATAGAACGTGCCTGAATCCTGTTTGAATTATATATGAAACGTTCTAATGACAAAATATGTGATTCAAATAAGCTTATTGTTACCTGGACGTTTCTACAGTTTAGAAGCGTCTTTACATTCCGTATCACGACAGACGAGAACTTATTCACGCGTTCTCCTATACTCTGAAACATTACAAGTCCTAATGGGATACCAATGATCGCGTAGCACATCGTGAACAATTTGCCGTATATAGTAGTCGGCGTTGAGTGTCCGTAACCTGAAATAAAAATGAAATGCAAAATAAATTTTGACAGTTTTCCAGCTTTCGCGCGCGATCGAAGAGAAACAACACCCTATGAATTTAATCGCGACGTTTCGTGCGAAACATCGTGCACAATGTAAATCTGTGTTTTTTTCTGTTACGATGAAAATGGTTAAATCGATTAAAACGCACACTGACTGACGAATATATCTCCGATGATCCATTCGTGCGTTACTCAATCACTTTCAGTTTCAAAATCACGATCGTTTATCGAAAAGCTCGTAGAATCAAAAAATTATCTTTCGTGATAAATGAAAAAAATTGATATTACCTAAAATTACATATAAAAATTGTAAAAAGCTTTTGTTTTTTCTAATTTAAAAAAAAACAGTAGTGGTTTAACACTTATAAAGGTTGAAAGAAATCCGAATTGCAAATCGAATTTACTTTTTCCAAACTGTCGCATTTGGGTACCCGTCAAACAATTTGGATTATCGAACAGATTTTCAATGCAAATGGATAGTAACGCAGCGGTAGTTACGCGTAATAAACTCGGTTTGAACATCCGACGGTATTCAGGGCAATGGTAACATTGCAACATGTACCTATCGTGGTGAGGACCGTTGTAGCGTAATAAAACGCGCCAGCGAACTTCCACTGTTGGCCAGCTTTGTGAGGTTCCGTCTTCAGCACCACTGTTTCCATGATCTTGAAGTCGTCCTCGCTTATATTGTATTTTCGTATGACCATTTTCTCAATGGCTGTGAACATGAGAGCGATAATTAGATTGATATGTATCTCACGATTCGAAGGCACCAATAAAAGTATGAGTGATGCTTGATAATAGTATATACCTGTTATTTATTATTATTATTATTTATGATGATTTCATCAGTGAGAGAAAAAAAGAGAGAAAGAGATATTGCTATTTATTAAATGTTCCTTAAAAAAATATCTTTTCGAGGGTGGAAACTTTATATGCATTAATTATATGCATTAAAGACGTGTTACAATAGAAACCTCTTGTATCTTTGATACAAAAATGATGAATAATTAAAAAAAAAGAATTAAAAGGAAATAGAGAGAGAAAGAGAGAGAGAGACGAAATATATGAATATATCACAGAGTCAAATAAAACTGATGATTAATGACCTTTGAACTTTTCAGAGTGTGTGCTTTCAGAGACTCTGTCAGAACAGATGCTTCGTACATTGGAATGACGATAACGCGATTCTTTTAATGAAAATTACGTGTCAGATACGCGCAAAACTGTCCCTCCCATGAATAAAAGCCGAGACTCGTCTTTGTAAAAAAAAAAAAAAAGAAAAGAAGCACGGCAACGCACAAATCGCTATTTCATTCTACTACTACTACTACTGGGATTTATAAGGCTCGCGGGAGATGGAATTTATCAAGCGTTTTCGAGCTTGCAGCGAGACAATGGCCGCGACATTGTAAGATCGTTCCCCTTTGACGATAGTGCAACGACATTCTTCTATTAGAAGTGCCTCTCTGCATAACGTATACTCCGCACGTATGTCGCACAAATACCGTCGTCGCCGCATATACGATTACACACTAATGCACTCGTACATAGAGCTCGTTGCTCGCTAAGTGATCTACGCGAATGGCAATAAAGGGGCTTAAGGAAACCCCAGACAACACAAATGCCTAGAAGCATTGTAGAAACGTCTGAGAGACACTTCAATCCCTCCGATGATCTTTTCGAGTTTTCAGAGGAGTCTCTTGGACTTTTTGTTTACTTAAGACTCTATTCATTCTCAATGAAGTTCTTGAAGTCAGATTACGAGAGGAGAAAGAAGCAATTGTATTTATATCATTTGCATAGATAAAAAATAGAAATTACATGAAATAATTTATATAAAATTGGAATTCTATATAAAAAATATATATATTTTTTTCTCATTGAAAAAATCAGAATTTTAAATTATCTATATTATATCATGTCTTTTTATATATTATAGAATAAACTTTACGAGGCATATAATTATTTATAATTCGAGTCACTTATTAAGAAAGTCTAGTCATTTTAAAAAGAATATGTCACCCGTCTAACTTGAAATTTGCAGGGCACTCAATTTACCATCTAACTTACCATCTAACGCTTCTTTGCGTAATTTCTCCGTCTCGGACTCGAGTACGTCGAAGATTGCAGCACCGACGAGGAGATAGGTAAGCGTGAAGACGATTAATGATAAAGTCCGGACGTTTTGCTTCTTCATTCTCTAGTGAGCCACATGCTCACTAGCAGGGCCCCGGCCCTAATTACTTGCATCGCTTAGTGAGATACAATTTGGGTTGCTGGGCCCATGATGACCCCCTTCTCTCTTCTCCTTCCAAAGTGATACTTGACGGGGGCCCCTCTCTTCCTTACCAAACGCTACAGACTTGGCACACGATCCCTTGTTTTCAGGATATCTGCTTCCTTGCCATAGCAATCATGCAGTCGTTTTCGTTCATCTGAAACTGTCGCGTCTACTTGTCCTATCAAAGCTAAAAGAAGTACTGTATAAGAAATATTATCGTACTGATATATGTATATATAATAATTTAATAATAAAAACTAAATCGACAACAAATTCTTGATAAAATAAGAAATAAAGATACGGCAATTGGAGCGTCGAATCGATTTCATGGCAACTGAAAGCGAGCCAATGATATGAACGAAATTTATCAATCTGCTCCAGCAATACTTCGCGTTATTTTTAAAGATGTGGGTCACTTAAGAATGAACCGCGAAGATTGAAATCGATTTCATTGAACACTTTTTCTCTTCTCCACGAGTTCGCTCTTTCGTCGGAATCGCTTTCTTGGCTTGAAATTCGGATGCACGATGAAAAGGTATAATCGTTCTAAGCGACCAAGAGAGATGATTTTAAGATTTCCTTTTTTTTCTCATTGACATAGCGAGTCAAATCTATTTCTTCGATGAAGATCGGACTGAACAAAAAATGTTGCTGATTTAAAAGAAAAAGATTTTTAGCTCACCTGCAACTTGTTCCGGATTCTCCTTTAGGTACGACGAAGAGTTGAGCAGAATGATATGGCAGTGCTTTCGCTGCTCCCACTGCCACGTTCCCTCCATTCCTCGGCTTAACACCCCACGCTTTCAGAGCCGACTAAACAAAAATAAGATGAAATTCTGATGAGTGACGAGGTACATTTCGCCGGGAAATTGGTTTCTCATAATACATTCGAGAAACAATGCCGAGTGAAATTTATTTTGTCAACATTTGCTGATATTATTTTTCATTTGAATTTCACAGTTTCTGATATCATATTCTTCCTATTCGTCGAAAAAAAAATACTGGAATTAAGCGAACACGATAAAGATTTAAAGCACGACAAACATACAAAAAACGCGTAAAATAAATGAATATATTGTATATGAAAAGTACAAAAATGTTCAAAAGAAGCAAAATGTAAGTTACCGTAAATTTGAAGTCTTTTACTAAAATTACATGTCAATGAGTGAGAAAATGTGTAATCAATTAGAATTGTTTTGAATGTGGATTAAAGCGGATTTGGGATGTAAGAGTTTCAGACTGGCTTATATCGGGATTAATCGACCGATCCAGTCTCTTTGTTATCCATTAATTTGTTAATTACTTCCAACTAAGTGTTATTTGAGAAAGTCCATTTATAAAATCCATGATAAGATTAACAAGTCTTAACAGAAATAGTATCTTTATAGTACAATATAATAATCGCCGATAATATATTATTGCAAGATATCCAGCACGTATCTGGTTCTCTTATTTATATTGAAAATATTCTCCACATTAAATATTTATATAAATCTAAGATTAAATAGTTATATATATAGAGCAGAACATTAGAAATACAAACGATGTTTTCATCAAAGATTACAACCTACAGTAAATTTGATGAGTTTGAATGCGTGTTTATTCATGAAACTGGAAGCACGAACAGTGAATTATACATTTTCTTCGTATTATAATAAAACTCTTCGGTATCTCTCGTGTTGATTTTAATCATTGATTTCTACTAATATATTCCATATGATGCTATTTTGGATTGTTAGAAAAAAATCTTACATATATGCCCTACGTTTCAAAAAAGTTTGCTTTTTGTACATATAATTTTTAAAAATAAAAAGAAATATGAATAAATCATTTCGTTACATTAAATATATAGAATATTCCAGATTCTCGCCCTGTCTTTAGACACAGCTTTCATATGACTACAATAAATATCAGCTCCATCGTAATAAAAAGATTTAATCGTGAGTTTGAATAATGAAGTTATGGCCTGTGTTTTATGGAAAAATAATAAATTTAGATCTAACGTGACAACAAAGAAAAATAAATCTAATAAAAATAAACATATTTTTGTGTAGTAAATTATACATATATGTATAGATACAAATAGAAATAGATAGTATTAGGTGTTGGAATTAATTCGTAGCGTTTTTTAATGAAAGAATGTTATTTATTTCACATGAGCATTAAAAAATACATTAATGAAAGTACTTCCCATCACTTGTAAAACGCTACGAATTAATTCCAACACCTAATACATACATAATAAGGTATATAAATGCGCGTACCAATGTTGTGTATGAGAGAGAAAGAGAGAAAGAAGATGAAAAAAAGAAAAATGAAGGGAAAATTTTGCAAGAGAGTATCTAATAAAGAAGGAAATGCTCATCATCCATCCAATTTGAGATGAGTTCTAGTAATTCCATAAGCAATGAGTCTAATAACCTAGAGTCATATCAAATTCTCTCAAATCTTACTCTCTCTCTCTATCTCTCATCCTCTCTTTTTCTCTGTTTCATGATTTAAATTAGCGTTTGCGTGATATAGTTGGTTAGAGATTGACGGCCTGTGTTTTATTGAATTTATGATAAATTGCTTCCGAAATTTCCATTTACTATACAGGCAACGTTGTGAAGTGAGAAGAGAGAAAGAGGGAGAGGAGAAAACCGTTTTCACACATTTAAGCCGTGAAAGAAGAGATTACGGAAATCCCTTTGTGAATCAAGGTAATGACCGCGATTAGAATCGCGGCGATTCCTTTCACGAAGGACAAACTCTGCTGAATACATTTAAACCTAATATGCGCAAAACACACACACACACACACACACACACACACACACATTAATGTCGATAATGATCGATGAATGCATAAATCTGACACAAAGAGTATCTAATCCGTACATACGCATCTAATTGAATTTTTCTGTTCAAGTTGATATTAACAGAAGATAAATTAATCTATATAAGCCTGCTAAACTACGTAAGCCAGAAAAAGCTTTTTTTCTTGTGAAAAAAAACTAAATATTAATTTATTATTATGTTGTTTCATTGGTATTATTCATAATTTATCTTGATGATCGGTTTAATCGCTTCTATATGAGTTGTGTTCAGTGTTACATGCAGAAAAATTATCGTGCAGGTTTAATATAACAATATTTTATTACAATATCTTTTTTTATGTATAAAGGAAAAAAGTAAAAATAAATATATTTATTATTTACTATAAATTTACTTTTACATTTTCGTCTTCATTATTAAAACTTTAAGTAATTCCTAATCAAAGGCAGATAAATTCCTAGTAGGGTACAAAATGTCTTTTAGAGATGGTTCCTTAATAAATACGCAAGGATGATTGACGATCTCATATTCATAAAATTTTTATCTTTGGCAATTTAAGGAAGACAAGGATATACATTTTTCATAGGAAAAATATATATCCTCATATACTCATATATAACCTCTAACCGAAAAGGTCAAGGACCGCGCCATCCAATCATTATCTCATGATAGGATCTTCATTGTTGTATCCTTGGATAGGTCACGAGTTTAATAACACCAGTTAGCTATCATATTGCTCGCGATGCTCCCTAATATCGATTATTGTGCGCACGATTCTGTAAAGGGTTGTTGCGATAATGGCTTATTTGCTCCACTGAATCAACGAGAACAATAAGCCATGGTAGACAAGTAAAGGACGACGTACCCGATCGCCCACGTCGCTCTTCTCTGAAGACAAAGAATTTCCCCAGAAATCTGCTAAGCGATAAATCAGTTTCTCATCAGGACTTCGAATTTGCCTAATATGAGAAATGCGAGAAATATTGTTACGCAAATGATAAAGAGATCGTTCTATTTTTCAGATACATCCCGGTTTTTGAAACTGAACTGCATGTAATTTATTACTGTGAACAATACGACTTTTTACACTATAATACACTTATTTATTATTCTATGTTGAATTATTCCAACATAAAAATAATATAAAATATAATAACAAAGCTAATATGATTTAAAATTAGATTAAAACACAAATTAAAATTAGAACTCTGGTAAAAATGAGACTGAATGTTTCGCCTCCGCACCTGCTATGTCTATTAAAATCTGTGAAATTCTGTTTAAAAAAACATAGAAGCATCATGAGCTTTTTAGAACAAAGTTTTTGTGGGAAAGACCGTGCAATTCATGTACTTTTGAGACAAAAGATTCATAAATATCTGAATATTTTGTTTAAATAAAAAAAAATTAATTAAAAAAATTATTACACGTAATAATTTAAAGGAATTATTTAGAATAAGACATTTTTTTTAATTGTGATTTTTATGCGGCAGTATTGATAAAAATCTTTGTTGTATTTCTGACAGTGATAATTAACAGGAAGATAAAAAAAATATATAAGCTACCTATTTTTTAAGTTTCCTTCGCCTTTCTTCTCTCATACTCAGCTTCATATATACAAAACATTGGGCGGTATTCATAGTCGGATCTTATATTTAGAACCGTCTTAAGTACAATCAAAAAGATTATGAACCAATCAGAATGTTGTATTAGTATCTTAAGAAATTACTCAAAATGGTCTTAAAATAAGAACCAACTACAAATACCGACCATCGACTGTTCTATTTATGGATAATAAAATAACCGACACTTTCTCTCAGCACACAAAGATACATGTATTTACACAAAACGGGCATGATAAATCATTAGTCCTTTTCAGGACTAAAATTGGCCCTTTTAAGGACTATTATGTATTTGTAATATGGGAGATTTGCTTTTGGAAATAGATAATTAATAAAATAAATACATTACATATTGTATAAGTTCGAGCTCTCTCGGTTGATTATCACTGTCAGAGAAACAATAAAAATTTTTATTGACCGATCCAAAAAAATATCAAAATTTGAAAAAGGAAATCAGAAAATATTTTGAATAATAACCAAAATATATATGGATTCACAAATTTACATAATTCGCTAAAAATATATGAAAATGTATAAATCAAAAGACTATTATAATTTCAAATTAATTTCATCTCTTTATTTATGAATATTCCTTTAAAAAAGCAATACGTTACCATAAATAAATTCCCTTTAAACTTCGCGTTTCCTTATTTATTGTCGCAAATAGACTCTAAGAAATCATCAACAATAAGTACCAATAATGGATGAATTGATGGCGTGTACCATGTAAATTATTACAAACTCTATTGATGTATATACTATATCAGTGGGAACAATATCAAATTACAAGGGTCGATTATATTTCATGTTATAGTACAAATCTTACACTGAAAAAAAAAATTTATTGAATTTTAATAAATATTTGTTTCAATAGTACTCTAAAAATATTTACTTATAGTAAATGAATATTTATCAAGATTAAAAAAGTTATGTTTAAATGCAAATAAATATATATTTACATTTAGTAAATATTTCGTTAGTACTATTGAAACAAATATTTATTAAAATTTAGTAATTTTTTCCAATATATAGTGAGTATCTTTGTTGCCGCGAGCGTTATAGAAATCTGACAAATTCGAACAAATTTACCACGTGATTGCGTCATTCTTATATGAAATTACGAAACTCGCATCCGGTTAGCTCTCCCATGAGTGCTGCATCACGACGTTACGATTGCCTCGTGATAAAGTATTTTCGCGACCGATCGCGAATCAAACTTTCATCAAGCACTAAACATATGACATATGCTTGGCAGCATTTTACATAATATTCTCACCTCAATATAGTAGAATCGAAATTTAGATAATTAACGATAAAATGTACAATTTCCATTCAAGAAAAGATTACTCTTAAATAATCATAAAATACTAAAAAAAA